TTACACACGTTTACTGACTGTGAAATCACACCAAATGATGTAAAATCACAGTCAGTTGTTGTATTTGATGACATAAATAGTCCAAATATTACACAATTTTTCTCAATGGGTCGACATAAAAATATTAACTGTTTTTACTTGTGTCAATCTTATAGCAAAGTACACAAACATTTACGTGATAATGTAAATTTCCTAATATTATTCAAACAAGATGATTTAAATTTAAAACATGTATATCACAATCATGTTGGTAATGACTTTTAATTGACCAAATTAAAAATCTCTGTCATCAATGTTGGGATAAAACTAAATATGGCTTTTTCGTAATAGACAAAGAAAGGTCAAAGAATAATGGCAAATATAGATTTATGTTTGATCAATTCTATCAAGAGGATGGTAAGGGTAAATAAATGAAAGATTTTTTTTAACATTTGCATTTATTATATATCTACACATTTTGAACATCGATTTTATAATGACCAAACGCAAGAGTATTGATGCCATCTTCTAGAATAAACCTCTTGTCATCGTCAAACGATAGTACTTTCTTATTCATTGTTAAGGTTTGAAGATGATGATTTGTAGATTTAATTCTTGTCACATTCTCATAGTAATCTTGCCCAGTTGCAAGGCAGTTCAAATAATGTTGATGTCTGAGGAGATGTTTAACTGTGGCACCATCAGCTCCTTTAGCTTTCTTCACCTCTAAAGCTTGCTTGTCTTCTTCATATAACCATTTTAGAGGAATATAAGAATATAACTTTGGTCTTAAACCACAATATTCATACATAATATGACCATCTAATTCATCTTTAAACTTTCCAGTGACTTTTTTATTTTTATCAGAGTATAAGAAATGGTATTTACTATATCCAGAGGTATCAAAATAGTGTAAGTCACATTCTATTTCCTTGTAAAAGTCCTCTGTAACTATAGCATACATTAATGAATCTGTATCTGTCATTAGAAATCTTTTATTCTTAAATTTTGACATATAATTATAGTGGAAATCATACATTATTACTTTACTGATATCCAAAATGGTCATTCCTAAATATATTGGTTTATTAAACTTTACAACTAATTTATTTAAATGTATAGCATGTAAATTGTTATCAAACTTTTTGCTACAGTCAAACCTTGGATTAGTGACATATTTTGTTAATAGTGACTCATCCTTGAGATATATATCACGAAACTTGCGTTGATTCATGATTGTTCGACCAAAGAGACTATTATTTAACAATTTATAAAAGTCTTTTTCGAAATCATTTTTAGCCCATTTTCGTTTTTCAATGTTAAAATGAACATAGGGTGCAAGCCATTTTGATTGTCTAAATTTTAAAATTCTATGGTATTTTGTAACAATCAAACCCAATTCCTCATATTTTTGTAATGCTTTATAATGTAAAATATATTTAGTTTTGTCATTTAAATTTGGCATTAATTTGCCATTCATTTTCTCTGGTGCTAATGGATAGTCATTATGTAAATCATGTAAGCTTTTATCATATTTTAAATCAACTTCTAAAATGTATCCAAACTCATCATTTTGATTATATTTGTAGTCTATCTCATTCGACCAACAAAATCCATCCATAGGTAGCGGCTCGCACATCGCTGTTGAGTATAGCGAGTTACAATCTAAATATATTAAATAGACACTCTCTTGATTGGGATCATAGTGTTCACCCATATATCTATTATTTGCTTTAGCGTAACGTGTAGAAATCATACTGACTCCTCCTCGAATCGCACTTTCTATGAACAAATGCATGTCAATATCTTTGAATAATTGTAATTTTATTCCTGTCATTCTAAGACAGGCCTCCCATGTAAGTCCAGGAAGTGAATACATATGTACAGGGTCAAGTTTGTAATCTTTTAAACACAGGTCTCTAAATGTCTCAAACACATCAGCCAGTAGCAATACATCTGTTTTAAGATATAAATCATGATATTCTTGTAAATTATTTATATTAAAATGGGTCCATACATTTTTAGCATGTTCATATTCATTGGGAGAGATATGTTCTTTAGTTATAGAACTGTAAAATGTTTCAATTGGGGGTAGAGACTCTGCAAACTTATCTGGTCCCGTCATATATTCATAGGGATATACACCTTTACGTTGTAGTAGTGGATTTTGTATGAATCTAAATGTGTTCAAATTGGAAGCCAATTTATATAATGGAAGGGACAGAAAGTTGTATGAATCTAAAAATACTAAATCATTTACAGAGAATGATATACATTTTTCCATATCTTTAGCTATACAATTTAATTTACGTTTATTAAACTTTCCCAAATGTTGCATTATTATGTGACCGTCATAATTTTTCAAGTTATGGAAGAATAGTGGTATTTTCTTTGTTACTTTATAATTTAAATTACAATCATTGTGGGCAGCTCCACGGTATTGGCCAGAGGAATGGCAATGATCTCTCACCCTATCAAAATATAGGGGCTTTTCACAAATATGACAATGTGTTGAGTTTTGGAAAGATACCTCTTGCTCAGGGGTCATTTGAAGAGGAATATATATTGCCATTTGATTTTTAATATAATCATAAGTCTGAAATAATCTTTCAAAAAACACATCCATAACATTTGTGCCACTGTACAACTCTTCAGAAATAATTTTTGAATCTTTTACTACGACAAATGCAAATCCCGATGGAATATGTATATTAGAGTTTATAAAGCATTCAAAATCTGCATAAATTACATATGGGGCTTTAAGATGATATTTATAATTTTTAAATTGTAATGTATCTTGTTTAGACATTTCCACTCGTTGAGCATCAAAGTTTTTACAATATGTTGTGTGACGTTCTAATATATCATTAGTGTAAAAATGTTGCAAACACAACTTGCAAAAATACTTCTTATTGTTGTCTTTTGTAGACCGTAGCATTAACCTATCAAAATCACGAATTAAACAGTAATGTGATTTACGACCTTCTTGCAATAATAATAAATCTACATGAGTATTACTAGTATTTAGTTTAGTTGTTCTTAATGGATGTATAAATTTATCATATTCAACCCCAAATACATTAACACTTATATTATTCTGTGTTTCAAATTTATCCATATCAGATATTTTTACTGGATATTTTATATTTGCCATATTTAACTGACTTTCATAGGGTACATAATTAGAAATCCTTTCAGCATGTTTATTAGAGTTCCTTGGATGTAAAGCTGCTAAAATCGACCAAAGAAAGCAATTATTATTATAATTCTTTATATTTAAAACAGCATGTTTTGATTGAATACTTTTTGGTGTGGGGATATATGACTTTGGAGTTAGGGGTTTATACTTGTAAACATGCAACTGCCAATATTTAGTATGGTCATATATCCATCCACTGCCTTGGGCTTGATATTTGTGTATGGAAGCGTCAATCTTTAAAAGTGCATTTTCAATTTGAGGCTTTAAATCTCTCTTCTCAATAGTTAAGGTAGTAAGACTTCTAAAATCTGCTATACATTCTTTTTCATTAACTAATTTACCATTTTGATCCATTGAATATTTTATAAATTTGATTCTCCTAACTAAAGTCCATTTTATCGGCAGAGGACAAGACTTGAGATTATTTTCAAGTTCAGCTCTAATCGATTCACCCACAAATTTAATCATTGTATATGGACACTTGTTGCAAGAATTGACATGTCTTCAAAAATGTCCAACAATATTTTTCTTACAAAAACTACAACTCTTGTGACTTTGTAATATATGTGATTTTAGAGCAATGTTACTATCACAGATTAAATTACAAACTTTACATACATTCATTTGATGAATTACCTTGTAGTGGCGAATCAGGTTACTTTTGGTGGAGAGCAACACGGAGCAGTGTTGACAGGTGGGCCTCATTTTTATATATAACAAAAAAAAATTGTGTCACTTCTATTTATAGACTTTTCGAAAATTTCAAAATTTTGGAAATTTTAAAAATTTTCAGCTAGAAATTAAAATTTTTTTAAAAATTACTTCAACAGATCCAAGACTAGATCACTAGAAAAAAAAGCAAGGAGCAAGCCCAAGGGAGTGACGTTTTCACCACGTCACCACTAGGGGCAAGAAACAACTATGGGTCGGGAGCATGCCCGCAACCGGGAGCCGAGTTCGCGCACAAACCACGCACATACATGATTTTGAAATAGAAATATAATATATCAACTGGAAAGGGGAATGGTAGATGTACTAGCAATTAGACATGGGGCAGAGGGGAGTGTTGAGGGGGGGTGGGGGGGGAGTTGGCACAAAAATGCCGCACCCCAAAAAACGGCGGCGACAAACTATACTACTATACATATACACATACATGGGTCAATAAATGAAATAATTAGTTTATTTTTTATTTTTGCTTAATATCGAATATATTTATGGGGAATAACTAAGAAATAAGGTTTGACAATTTTTATAGGGATATTTGGGCAAAGATCAGGATTTTAGATTTGGTGGCCAAAAATAATCCCCATAAGAATAACATGGGAAAAACGTGTCTAAAGTGGGGTATCTTTCTGGGTTCACCACTACTTACTAAACATACAGGGGGCCTTGAATCCTCCAGGATTCAACAAATCAACACAAAGATAATATTCCAATAAAATAAATCTTCTTTCCAAAGTGGTTGAGAGAAAATACTACTTACAAATTAAATTTCTTGAAGTTACTCTTGATAAGCAGGCAAAGGAAAAACCTTGTGAGCTGGTCGAGTCAAGAGTCCTTGTTGAGTTTTCAAGTGGACGACCCGTACAGCCTCATCCTTTCCAGGGGAGACACCTACAATCCGAGCTAACGGCCAAGAAAGAGGAGGAGTAGGCTGATGTACTAAGGCGAGGTCACCAATGCGAAGATTGGTATTTTGCTCATTCCATTTAACACGCTGATGAAGGGTGTGAATGTACTCCAGTTGCCATCTCTTCCAGATGCGTTGATTTAGGGCCTTGACCAAATGCCAGTGTTTCAGGCGATTATCAGGAACCTCTTACAGATTTTCATCAGGAACAGAGACAAGTGGAGCTCCGACCAAGAAATGTCCTGGAGTGAGCGCAGTGACATCTGAAGGGTCGTTTGACATTGGTGTGAGAGGTCTCGAATTAAGTATCGCCTCCACTTGAGTAGTCAGGGTCATGAACTCTGAGACGGTTAGGACATGTTCGCCGATGAAACGGCGGAGGTGATGCTTGGCACTCTTAACGGCTCCTTCTCCTTCCCAGAGACCACCTTGGTGAGGAGCAGCTGGGGGGTTGAAATGGAAGGTAATGTCTTGGTTTGAGGAAAATTCAAGAAGAGATGTTCGTTCAGCTGACTTGAAGAGAGCTTGAAAGGCGTTATTAGCACCAACGAAGTTTGTCCCGCAGTCCGAATATATGTTCTTGCAGAGGCCACGTCTTGACACAAAACGAGTTAGTGCAGCAATGAAGGCATCAGTTGATAGGTCAGTAGCTACTTCAATGTGAACAGCCTTTGTTGCAAGGCAGACGAAGATACAGATGTACGCTTTTGTCAAACGTATTGAACGGAGGTTATGTACCTTGATGTTGAAAGGACCACCGTAGTCCAGCCCCGTGTTGAGAAATGGACGGGAAGGTGTCACTCGGGGTTTTGGGAGATCACCCATCAGTGGAATTGTATTATGTGGTTTGTGTCGAAAGCAGACAACACACTTAAAAATTCGAGAGCGTATTGCACTGCGGGCAGAAAGAATCCAAACGCTCTGAGCTAGAAGGGATTGAGTTAATTGAGGCCCTGAATGCAAATGTTTCTTGTGATAGAAATCAATAAGAATGTCAACCACATGATGTTTCTTTGGTAGAATTATAGGATGCTTAACGTCTTCTGAAAGTTGAGATGCATTCAGTCGTCCACCAACACGAAGTAAACCTGATTTATCAATGAAAGGATGGAGACGCCGAAGTGATGAAGTGGTTTTAGATGAGTTGTTCTTCAACGCTGTAATGTCATCTCCAAAAACCGTTTCTTGAACCTTCTTGAAGATTGTCAGTCGACTTTGAGTTAACTCAGATGAGGTGAGAGGGCCTGAGCACCTTTTCGAGTGCTGGTGGTTATAGATGAATCGTAAAATGTAACCCATCACTCGTGTAAGTTTGCCGAAGTGAGAAAATCTAGTGAGGAGTTCCCATTCTTGAGTGGGTTTAATCGTAGATATCAGAGTGGTAGGTGACTGAGGTTTATCTTCTCCTGTTTTTGTAATATCTAGAGGAGTAAAGTTTGAGGATGGCCAAGATTCACTCGAATATTGAAGCCATGGGGGACCAGACCACCAAAGTTCGTGGTTAGACAATTCTGATGGGAGGATACCTCGTGACGCGCAGTCAGCGGGGTTATATTCACTGGATATGTGTCGCCAGCAATGATTAGGTACTAATTCTTGCACCTGCGTAACCCTGTTCCCAACAAAGGTCTTCAATCGATGAGGTGGTGTCTGCAGCCAAGTTAGGGTGATAGTAGAGTCACACCAGAGAATGATGGATGAAATCTTTAATTTTATCTTGTAAATAGAAACCACATAGGCTACTATCTGGGCAAGAAGATGGGCGGCGCATAGTTCCAAGCGTGGAATTGTAAGTTTTTCAAGGGAGCAACCCGAGTATTTGACATAATCTGCCTGATTGTGACAGTCCCATCACTGAGTTCACAGCGCAAGTAAACAACTGCAGCATAACCATTCTCGGAGGCATCTGAGAAGCCATGTAATGCAGTAGTGCATGCTCGTGACACTTGAAAAGCTCGAGGAATTGAAATCTCTCGCAGGCTGTCTGTAGATGAAGTGAAACTTTGCCACATTTAGAGTAGGGCAGTGGGAAGTGTTTGATCCCAATCCAATCCTTTGGTCCACAAGAGCTGCATAAAACGTTTTGCCCACATCACAATTGGGGAGAGGAAACCACAGGGGTCATATATTTGTGCAATCACACTGAGCACCTGACGCTTTGTAGTTGCGCTTGCGGAAAAATTAAAATTGTATGTAAAACAGTCAGTAACTGGAGACCAGTGAATGCCTAAAATGGTGTGATGAGGCTGTGAACTATCTTGAAGGAACGCCGGAGTCTCTCGATGACCATCTGGAAGATCTAGAAGAAGTCGACTGGAGTTGGAAGTCCATTTCCTTAGCTCAAAGCCTCCACGTGCTAATAGGGCGATGAGTTGTCTCTGGAGTCTTAAAGCTTCTTCTTCGGAATCTCCACCAGAAATCACATCGTCAACGAAGGTTTGTATTCGAAGAATCTCTGCCGCTTCAGGGAACGAGTCGCCTTCATCATTGGCAAGTTGGTGCAAAGTCCTGATTGCGAGGTACGGTGAGCAATTGACTCCATAGGTTACTGTGGTAAGTCTGAAGGTAGAGGGTGGTTGATCTGGACGAGTATGCCATAGGATATACTGAAACCTCTGGTCCTCAGGATGGACTTTAATCTGTCTGTACATCTGCCTTATATCACATGAAAAAACTACACTATGAGTTCTAAACATGAGCAACAAGTCACAAATGTTGGTTTGCATTTTTCTTCCTGTAAGCAAAATATCATTGAGAGATGTACCATTGGAGGTTTTTGCACTAGCATCGAACACAGTACCTAGTTTAGTGGTACTGCTTGATTCCTTCAACACCCCATGATGAGGTAAATAGTAATGCGGGGAAGATAAGTCAACATTATGAGCAAGTTCCATATGACCCGAAGACGAATAATCAGACATGAAGTCGAAATATAGAGATTTGAATTGAGGTTGAGCCTTAAACTTTTTCTGAAGTGCGTGTAGTCTTTTCTCAGCAGCAAAGACAGAATTTCCTAGAGCAGGGTGTTCAGTCTTGAACGGTAGTCGGACGCAATATCTGCCAGATTGGTCCCGAGAGTGAGTGGAGAGGAAGTGTTCTTCACACATTTTATCTTCATCTGATTGCTTCGATGCGACTGATGGCTCTTCCTGGTGCCAAAACCGCTGGATAGAATTGTGCAGTTCAATGTCATTGACTGCCAAAAGCATGGTTGACATGTGAGAGCTAGTGTCATCATCAAGCTTGATTGCACAGGGTGCGTCACCCATTACCAAAAATCCAAAGTGTGAGCCTATTAAACTTGGTAGGTTAGGCCCGAGGTTGTGAACTGCTTGAGTGAGCATGAGAAGGAAAAGTGATCCACCTAAAAGAACATCAATCCCACCAGGTAAATGGAACATGGGATCAGCCAAAACGTAAGAATTTACCATCTCAATGACACCAGAGGATATTGGCATGTGGGGTAAATCAACACATATTTTATCAAGAATTAAAAAGTTTGAGTCAGTAGAGATAGTTTTTCCATTCAATGTCTCTACCTTGAGAGAAGTGGCACCTTTACATCGAGTAGGTATTTGAGAGAGGCCTACTACACTAGGCGCACTTTTTGTGCGTGAGACACATAAAAGTTGAGCAGCATGTTCTGTGAGAAAACATGATTGACTACCAGAGTCAGCGAGAGCTCGAAATACATGGCTAACTCCGGTGGGCGATACCAGCTTCACAAGTAAAGTGCCCAACAACACTGTTGAGGGATGATGTGTTGTGGAACATCTTTCTTGACTAGTCAGGGCCGATGAGACTTGAGATGATGAATTTTCTTGATGAGCTGAGGAAGAATCACGAGTTGAAGTCTGAGGCGTAGCCTGGTTAGATGATTGACGAGGTTTACCATAAAAATGTAATAAAGTATGATGATTCTGATGGCATGTGTAACAACTCGACTTAGATTTACAGTCACTCAGTAGATGATTCCCTAAACACGATGTGCACCGCTTATTCTCCTTTACGATCTGGTAACGGGCCTTAGGATCCTTATCTTTAAAGACCGAGCATGTATACACATTATGATCAATTTTGTTGCATACAAAACATTTAGTGTACTTAGGGTAGGATTTGCTTTGATCAACAGAATGATAAGTCAGCATAGACACCTTATTACCTACCGATGATTTGTTGAATCTTGAGTTAATATATGAATTATCAGATGTTGTTTTCACATTATGACTGCTGTGGAGGTTTGCTTCTTCAATTTGATTACATTCTTTAGTGAGAAACTGAATTAACTCAGTCACATTAGGTAAGGCAGGGTTATCACCATCACTGTCAGTGGGGTTATTAATTGCACGAAAAATCTCAAATCGTTTCCTTAAATCACTATCCAGTTTTCTCAAAAGCATGGCAGACAAAAGGTGATTATTTTTTGTAGCAATTTCACTATTTAAGCCTTTGAGTGCTTGAATGTTTTCATTATATAAATTTACAAATTTTCTCATTTGTTTTGAGGTGTGATTTACTGAGGGTAAGTCAAGAATCTGATTTAAGTGCAGAGTAACTAATCTTGCTACCTTCTTTCTGTAATCTTGAAATAATTGTAATTTTATACCGGTCATTCTAAGACAGGCCTCCCATGTTAGTCTAGGGAGTGAATACATATGTACGGGGTCAAGTTTGTAATCTTTTAAACACAGGTCTCTAAATGTCTCAAAGACATCAGCCAGTAGCAATACGTCTGTTTTAAGATATAAATCATGATATTCTTGTAAATTATTTATATTAAAATGGGTCCAGACATTTTTAGCATGTTCATATTCATTGGGAGAGATATGTTCTTTAGTTAGAGTACTGTAAAATGCTTCTTTTGGGGGTAGAGACTCTGCGAACTTATCTGGTCCCTTCATATATTCATAGGGATATACACCTTTACGTTGTAGTAGTGGATTGTCTATAAATCTAAATGTATTTAAATTGGAAGCTAATTTGTATAATGGAAGGGACAAAAAGTTATAGGAATCTAAAAATACTAAATCATCAATAGAGAATGAAATGTACTTTTCCATATCCTTGGCTATGCAATTTAATTTACGATTAAACTGTGCAAACTTTCCCAAGTGTTGCATTATTAAATGTCCGTCATAATGTTTCAAGTTATGGAAGAATACTGGGATTTTCTTTGTTACTTTATAGTTTAAATTGCAATCATTGTGGGCAGCTCCACGGTATTGGCCAGATGAATGGCAATGATCTTTCACCCTATCAAAATATAGGGGCTTTTCACAAATATGACAATGTGTCGAGTTTTGGAAAGACGCCTCTTGCTCTGGAGTCATTACCAGGGGAATATATATCGCCATTTGACTTTTAATATAATCATAAGTCTCAAATAATCTTTTAAAAAACACATCCATAACATTTTCACCACTGTACAACTCTTCAGAAATAATCTTAGACTCTTTCACTACAACAAATGCAAATCCAGATGGAGTATGGTTGTTAGAGTTTATAAAGCATTCAAAATCTGCATAAATCACATATGGGGCTTTAAGTTGATATTTATAGTTTTTAAATTGTAATGTATCTTGTTTAGACATTTCCACTCGTTGAGCATCAAAGTTTTTACAATATATTGTGTGACGTTCTAATATATCATTAGTGTAAAAATGTTGCGAACACAACTTATCAAAATCACGAATGAAACAGTAATGTGATTTACGACCTTCTTGTAATAACAATAGATCTACATGAATATTACTATTTAGTTTGGTTGTTCTTAATGGATATATAAATTTATCATATTCAACCCCAAATACATTAATACTTATATCATTCTGTGTTTCAAATTTATCTATATCAGATATTTTCACAGGATACTTTATGTTTGTCATATTCAACTGACTTTCATAGGGTACATAATTAGAAACCCTTTCAGCATGTTCATTAGAGTTCCTTGGATGTAAAGCTGCTAAAATCGACCAAAGGAAGCATTTATTGTCAGCATTTTTAATATTTAAAACTGCATGTTTTTATTGAATACTTTTTGGTGTGGGAATATATGACTTTGGAGTTAGGGGCTTATATTTATAAACATGCAGCTGCCAATATTTAGTATGGTCATATATCCATCCACTGCCTTGGGCTTGATATTTGTGTATGGAAGCGTCAATCTTTAAAAGTGCATTTTCAATTTGAGGCTTTAAATCTCTCTTCTCAATAGTTAAGGTAGTAAGGCCTCTAAAATCTGCAATACATTCTTTTTCATTAACTAATTTTCCATTTTGATCCATTGAATATTTTATAAATTTGATTCTCCTAACTAAAGTCCATTTTATTGGCAGAGGACAAGACTTCAGAGTACTTTCAAGGTCAGCTCTAATCGATTCACCAACAAATTTTATCATTGTGTATGGACATTTTATGCAAGAATTGGTGTGTCTTTTAAAATGTCCAACAACATTTCTTTTACAAAAATTACAACTCTTGTGTCTTTGTAATATATGCGACTTTAGAGCCACATTATTATCACAGATTAAATCACAAACCTTGCACAGTTTCACCTTCATTTGATGTATTACCTTGTAGTGGCGAATCAGGTTACTTTTGGTGGAGAGCGACACGGAGCAGTGTTGACAGGTGGGCCTCATGGTCCAGAATGAAATATCACCCGAATTTCACTTCTATTTATAGACTTTTCGAAAATTTCAAAATTTTTAAACCAGAAATTGTGAAATTTTCAAAATTTTTAGCTAGAAATTAAACACTTTTAAACAATTTAACTAGAAATTATTTCAACGGGAGGTCACCCACCCAAGGCTTAATCAAGAGCTACCACTAGAGACGAGAAAACCGACCATGAGTCGGGAGCGAGAAGCCTGACCATAGGTCGGGAGCACGCCATGAGCCGGGAGCGCGCACGAGTTCGCGTACAAACCTCGCACTGCCAAGTTGATGATTTTAAGAATATACATGTGAATGGATATGGATTTGAAATAGTAATGGAGTTGTACAATGGTATTGAACATTTATATAGGCTTGTATAGGCCAAGAGCTGGATTTTTAAAAAAGGGGTCAAAAAAAGCTCATTATGTTATTCTTATGGGGAAAACGTGCCTAAAGTGACTTATCTTTCTGGGTTCACCACTACTCTACATTTACACTTGTAAGGGTCAATAAATGTAAGAAATAGCTTTTTTAGCTTAATATCGAATATATTTGTGGGGAATAAGTAAGAAATAAGGTTTGACAATTATATAGGGATATTTAGGCAAAGATCAGGATTTTTGGTTTAAGTGGCCAAAAAATGATCCCATGTTATTTCTTATGGGAAAACGTGCCCCAAGTGGGGTAAAACCGGTAGTTCGCCACTACTCTGGTGTCCAAGTGTTACTACCGTGTCCGTGATTTTATTGCTGATGGGTAGTCATGGGCATATGGTATTCATGGTTCATGAATTGATTACATGTAAATATACATGTAAATCTGGCCAAATAAATGACTTATGACTTATGACTTATGACTTATGACCTGTGCATGATGATGTTGCAGCTGAAGAGGGTGTAATTCAGAGAGTTATGGATATTCCTACTGCTAGTCTTAGGCAGCTTGCCCTTGAAACTAGTAGGTATGTCCCAGTGGAAAGTACATAAAGTGTTAAGGACAATAACTTCCATCCGTATCATTTTGCAAAGTTCCAAGGATTGCAGCCTCGTGACTTCGAATCCAGAAAGGAGTTCTGCCGCTGGCTTCTCCAACGTGATATTGTTGAATATCACTTCCTTAAAAAAGTACTATGGACTGACGAATCCCTTTTTACCAGAGAAGGTGTGATAAATATTTACAACATGCATAACCCAAAAGCCTCCAGAGAAGCTTCTTTTTAAAAAAGGGTTGGGATCAACGCGTGGGCAGGTGTGATTGGAGATAGGTTAATTGGTCCTCATATCTTCGAAGGAAATCTGAATGGTGATTTATATCTAGATTTTCTTCAGCACTTTCTACCTCAGTTGTTGGATGAGATTGATCCTCGACAAAGAGCTGAAATCATACTTTATCAGGATCTTGCTCCACCACATTTTACCACATCCCCTAAATCCCCTAAATATTAAAAATCAAGTTGGAGGGTTTTTTAGGGTATATCATAAATAAAAATGCAAATTACAATATAAGAAAGTATATATTTTACACATATTCAATATAAAGCATTACAACATCATATGGAGACCTGAATAAATGTAGTAAAAGAAAATTCACACACAGATAAATGTAAAAAAAATTATAAAATGTAAAAGTTACTTAGCCAAAACAAAGTATATAATGGCCAATTTATATTTACGTAATATAAATATAAATATAAAGGCGGGTTTCAATAAAAAAATGTTCCAATATGCCAAAACTTTATCCTAAATTGTAATGACATAAGAAAAAACTATCAATATCGAGCCAAAAATATGACAAAACCTATTTATAATGTCATATTATTTTTAAAAATGCATAAACGCAATTAAAATTAAGTTTCTGGAGGATTTTTTAGTTAATTTATTATTTATGGATAGATATATTTGGAACGCTGAGCTGCATGGTGTTACATTTGAGTAACGCACTTTGAAAAATCAAAATACATTCTAGTTTACTGATTTTATGACTCCAAACTATTACAAGGGACGCTATTATAACAGTACATTACAAAACAGCATAGTAATCATATAATCAATAACAACATATCTTTCATTTGCATAAAAATAAAGACGGGATCTTGGGCACGAGTCTTTCACCAGGAACAGCTGTTTTCTAGGAGTTATTTGTTAGAGTGTAAACAAATGGATGGTGCTGCCACCTAGCAAAGGTCCATAGTACTAACATTTAATGTTTCCAGACGCATAGCGCTAGTAGTATTGTCTACAAAAAATAAAATGTCTCGCTTTACAAAGATGTAACACCGTGCAGCAAAAAAGTCAAAAAGTCCGTTACATAAATGTAACACTGTGCTTGAAAGAGTTATCCCAGCGCTGTAGCTGGGGTCCCTGCGCAGGCGCGGGCGACTGATGCGCGGCATGTGCGCGACCCGGTGGTACGGCGGTGAACCACAAGATCAGCTGTTTCTGAACTTGTGTCATCTGCTAATTTGTTATGTTTACATTTTTGAACTTAACTTCGGTGAATTGGCAAGGCGATTCTGCTAGTAAGGGTTTAGTTTGATTATAAATATTAACAAATTTTATGACCCTTACACCCTTACACAACCCTTACACAAAGACTACCTATTCACATTTAGCAAACTATCAAAAATACTCGTTTGAAAACGAAATACTAAATGAGAACTTAGTTATATCAAATACATTATTTTACATGTTTAACCTTTAGGGCTATATCGCTGTTCTTTTTAATTAGCAGGAAATTATTTATTTATAATTATTTATGATTTATATCATCGATTATTTAGGTTTATAATTTATTTTTAAGATATGCTTGAATTGGTATATTTAAAGTTATAATCTAGCCCCCTTTTATTTAAATTTCTCTTCTCTCTTCTAACCTTTAGTCCTGGGAATTATAATTGAATTTTGGCATATCGAGGAGAAGATCTTGAGGGTAGATGATTCTCCGAGGTGACGTCTCGTGATATCCAGGCCTCCCCTTGTCTCCGTTGTCGTGGTGGTTGATCCTGGTCCTCGATGGCGGATGACGACCCCCTGGAACCTCTTCTCTCGGCGTGGGCTGCGTTGGTGAAGACGTTTGGCCTAGGACGGATTCAGGTGGCAGATTTTACCAATTATGATATATTAAATGGGGCCTACTCGATCCGACCCCGTCCTAAGCCTCGCAAATCTTCTTCCTGACTGATGCCATCTTACTCCTCCTGTCCCTTCCTTTTTTAGATTTCCCATAATTACGGAAATTAAATAAAGATACGTCTTATAACACTTAAAACATATATTTACGCTTATACTGTTAGTCACAAGACGGTAAATATACAAAAGATGGTAAGTAGTGATCGATTTCGATTGGACAATTCCTATAATTGAAATTAACCCCACCTACAGTGCCCAATCATAGATTATCCCTTTGGTACTCAATGCTGTAATTGGCTGCCACTTCGATCAGCAGTTCACTGTAGACGTCAGGTTGTGCGTACATTGCCCGGGACCTTGAATATGATACTTGTAGACTCGTCGGTGCCATTCTACATGTCTCTTTGTATTAGAAAATTGTAAAATTGTATTTACTTGAATCATTAGCAAGTTTTAAATGGGCCTAATATGATTTATTTTTAAAATATAAGTAGGAATGAAATTTGTGAATTTAATTAAAATATATATATGTTTACAATGTGCCCACTTTTCAACAGACTTTAATACGAAAAGATGGTACCTTTGTACAAGACAATAATAATAATGAATTTTTAGAATCAGAGAATGGTGTTTAAAATGCTAAGAAACATAAAATTTGTGATTGTTGGCAGGTACTTTTGGAAGCAGGCTATTGGGATTTTTATAATAAAAGGTTAGTACGTGTTAAACCTGCCATTGGTGACACTGATTGTGTTACAAAAGAACAGACTATAACTTTTGATAAAAAAGAAAAATGTTGGGATGCCAAAAAAAATTTATAAGGAATCTACCAGAGGGGGAATATTTGGATGACATTTGTCTAAAGTCACAAGCTATGCATTTTGATGGATCAACATCTGTATATGCAGGAAAACAATTTAATTTGATGGAATACAATCCTGATTTATTAGTTGCCGACCCCACATCTTTGAGTGGATTTAAGTATATAGATAATAGACCATATACACCAGAAAATTATGTATTTTAAAGAAAAGAAGATAATCTATTGATTGGGGCCAATGGTAAAATATTTACAGTTAAAGTAAGTACTGATGTTATAAGAAATTAATGAAATTGCATACGAACTTCATAAGCATGCAAGAAAGAATTTTATTCGAAGGTCTTTTAAAGTACGTATTGGGTATAAACGAAACCGTACAAATAGACTTAATTGATATGCAAAACTATGCTAGAGAGAATTCTGGCAATAAATATATTTGAACTTTAATATATACATTTTCTAAAAAAGCTTATGCTGCTCCACTAAAGAATAAGACAGGGTTGATGGTTACAGAAGCCATTAAGACCATTCCACCAAAGGGGGTTAAACATTCAATCTGACAATGGAAAAGAATTTTTTAATCAATATTTTAGCAAACTAATGAAAAAACTAAATATTAATCACTATCACACTTTTTCTACAATTAAGGCTGCAATTGTGGAGAGGTTCCAGAGCACTTTAAAGAATTGGTTATACAGGGAATTTAGTGCTCAGGGAAGTTATAAATGGTTAGATTAACTTCCAAAGTTAATTATAAAATATAATAATAAGGTACATAGATCTAGAGGAATGAAGCCTAACCAAGTGAGTGTTAAGAAATAGTAAATATGGGCATGAGAGGTTGACTTCTAAAGTGCAAATTAAAAAGCCAAGATATAAGGTGGGTGATAGTGTAAGGATTTCCAAGTTTAAACATGTGTTTAGTAAAGGGTATACCCCAAATTGGACAGGGGAGCTATTTACAATAGCAGAAGTAAAGAATACAAAGCCTGTAACTTATATCTTGAAAGATGAAAATGGTTATTTAATCAGGGGAGGGTTCGATTTCGAGCTATCCAGGCATCAAAAGTAAATAAAGCCGCTGGTTTCGACCGCATACCGTATGAGTTTTTTAAATTTTGACCAATGAGGCTAACAGATATTTTATTTCAATTATTTAACAAAATTTTACATACAGGAGAGGTTCCAGAAAGTTTTAAGAAGTTAATTGTCTATCCACTACATAAAAAAGGGGATATTGGAGATGTGTCTAATTATCGAGGTATTTGTTTTATGGATGCTGTGGCTAAGTTGTTTATGGGTGTAATATTAAACCGGTTAGAATTGTGGGTTACAGATAAAAATATTTTGTGTGAATACCAAGCAGGTTTTCGTAAAGGCTATTCTACAGTAGATAACGTTTTCTCTCTTTCTAATATGATTAATCTAAGGCTCTCAGTCAAAAAAGGCAAATTATACTGTTTTTTTTTTGTAGATTTTTCTGCCGCCTTTGACCGGATTGACAGAAACTCGTTGTTTTATAAACTCTATACAATTGGAATTTCTTCAAAGATAATAAGATTATTAAAAAGTTGCTATAATGGTACGTCAGCAGATGTATGGTGTAAGGAAGGTGTGTCAGAGTGCTTTGAGACAACAAAAGGCCTGAGGCAAGGATGTTTAGGGAGTCCTTTGTTATTCTCATTGTTTTTAAATGACCTACATGATGTTCTAGGGGGTGGGTGCATCTTTGGAAACTTCAAAGTGAAAGTTCTGTTATACGCGGATGATATTGTTTTGGTGTCACCTTCGGCGGCGGGTTTACAATTAATGATAAATGATCTGCAAAAATATTGTGAGGATTGGAATTTGCTAGTAAATCTTGACAAATCCAAGGTTATGGTGTTTAGGAATGGTGGCGGCAGGGCGGCTTACGAGCAAACGAGCGGTGGCGTTATAAAGAAAATTTAATAGAGTGTGTAAACATTTACAAGTATCTTCGGGTGGTTTTCTCATCAAAGTTTTCTTTCCAAAAACACTTTGAACAAAAGCTTACGTCCTCAAAAAATGCAGTAAATTCGTTATGGTCAAAGGTTTTTAAAAATAAAGACATTTCAGTATTGTTAAAATTTGAGTATTTTACTCCGTAGTAAGATCAAAAATGTGTTATGCCGCACAAGTTTGGGGTTTTAAACTGTATAATGAAGTTGAACAACTTTTACGTTTTTTCGTCAAAAAGGTTTTTTGTTTACCTCAATGCACACCTAATTACATTATATACTTAGAAACAGACCAAGACCCAATTTTCATTCATACGTTGAAACTTCACTTTGAATATGTTTTGAAAGTATTAAATATGCCTGAATCACGTTTACCAAAATTGTTAGCTAATGAAGTTATAAGAAAACAGATATTTTGGTATAGGGAATGGAAGAGTTTAGCAGAAAGTTTATCAGTGCACTTATCAGTAGAACAAAATGATATTAGTGAAACAAGATATCAGTTGGGTCAGCTGTTGTTTGCGGTCCATGATAACAATCGCCAGCGTGTCCTTCAGACAGCCATGAATGCTCGCTATCATGCTATTTATAAATCACTTAGTTTGGATTTGAAAGATAATGGTTACATTTTTTCAAAGTTGGATTTTAATACAATTAAATGGACTCTCAAGTGTAGAGGTGAATTATTATATTTAAATTATAAACCATGGATACAAAATCAAAATCAAAACTGTTCGTTATGCAATTTGGGGGAAGTAGAGGATGTTTACCACTTCGTTGCCAAGTGCCCGATACTGCGTCATTTTAGAATTTTTTGGTTCGGATTAGAGGTTTTGTCCCGGGATACATTCATATCCTTGTTGAATGGGGCTGATTGGGTGCGGCTTGCCCGATTCCTACAGCAAGCTTGGCGGTACAGGTGGGTAATTATACAAGAATTTAATTATTAACCTTTTTCAAGCTCTGAGCACTCTCTAGTTTTAAGAAATTTATAAGTTACAAATATATGTATAAATGTATAGAATTAAAAAAACATAAAAAATAAATAAATAAAAAAAATGTTTTTAATTGAAATAGGCCTAATGGTACATCAGAAAGGTAATTTGAATGTATAAAAGTGTACTGTACTTGTTTTATCTAGTATTTACAATGTGTTTGCCAACCCGGCTGACGGTCTTATAAGACCAAGTTGGAAAAATGCGAGCCTGCTGTGTGAATCATGAACTGGTTATACTATGGAAATGTATTGTAAAACTTGTACTTAGATCATGTAAATAAAGCATTGTTTCATTCATTCATTCATAATCAGGGGAGGGTTCTATAAAGAGGGATTGTTAAATACCAAGTATAAAGACATGTATTTGGTAGAAAGGGTGATTAAGAGGAAGGGTGATTTGTTGTATGTCAAATGGTCAAATGGTTGATTTGTTGAGTTCCCAAGTAGCCAGAACTTATGGATTTCCATAAAGGATGCCATTTCACCGCGCACTAGGGATGAGATGCAAGAAGCGGGAGCTTGCTCCTGACCACGGCAGTGCCTATAGGCCGGGAGCGCGTGCAAACCTCGCACGATTTTGAAAATATACATGTGAATGGATGTGGATTTGAAATTTGTATGGAGTTGTACAATAGTATAGAACATTTATTTATGGGTGTATAGGCCGTGGGCAGGATTTTAAAAAAAGTGGCTAAAAAATGCCCACCATGTTATTCTTATGGGGAAAACGTACCTAAAGTGGCTTCATACCCTCATATTACCCCTACTTGGACCGTCGAGATTAAACCAGCTCTGTTCACGTATAAATAAGCGGAAATTGGATACAGCTTGCTTGTGCTGCAATGCTATCAAGGGCATGTCGCTTATTTGTCTGGATAAGTATTTGACAGCAAATACAATACAATGCAGCCTACCCTGGGTGGTTTTACTTAACGAAGAAGAAACAACCTCACCTTCAGGAAGTTGTAGATCCAAACATTTCCACTCAAACAAAATCGTCAAAATTTAAATCATTGCATTGTGTATTATGGACACTATTAATTACTATGAGTTTTAATACTGGCTAGGACAAAAAATCACTTCCCCCTCTTTACAAGCCTAATAGTTTATGAAAGAATTAAAAAAGTAAAACAGCCCGGTTTAGTTCAATATTTAATCATACACTATCTGCATCTCTTGTCAATTGTTTAAATAATAATCATCAGAACCTTTCAATTAAAAAGTTACAAAACGTTTTTTACATTTAGAAAAGTTATATATTCATATACCTTAAAATGATAAGGTTGTTATAACACAAAATTCACTTGAATTGTTCCTTCAGTTTTAAAACAAATGTAATTGAGAAGTAAGTAACGAAATTACAAAACCTTTTTTGATTTCATTCAGTACAAGCAATTAAACTTTTGTTCCACAACGGACTTCTCCTAAATTCATCCGTCTTCTTTTTGCGTTGTTTCTCGTTTTAACTTTCCTTATTACCTGTTTGTAGATAATTTAAATACACATCAATTATAAAGGCTTAATGTTGATTATACGTGATTAAGTTAGAAGAGAGATGGTTATCCTAAGGTAAGATTTTAAGACATCTGTTATGGAGACAGTTTTTCTCTGAAACACATAACACCAAAGAAAGCCCACCATCCTGAAATTGAAATCCTGAAAACCTAAGGTGCATGTCATTATCCGTCATTCTGATAACATTTGGGGAAGTAAGGTCCTCAAAGAAGCATTGTTCACATGTTGTTTCAGCGTAGTAGGGTCTGGCTCTTTTAAAACTCGTCCCCTGGATATTACTCTATCGTTGTTTTGTTTCTTTCTCCCTCGATACATAGTATCTTAACAAAGTATATAATGTAAGTATTGTTTAAGTCAAAAACATTAATTCGCCTTTTAGGAGGATTTATCCGTTTCGGGTGCCCTTGAACCCAAAGAAGTGGTTTTCAAAGTGATGTGTGAGTGTGTGTGTGTGCGTGTGTGTGTAGATGTGTACAGAGCTACTAACAGACTACACCTTTAGTCCGATTTGGATTAAATTTGTTTTTTGGGTACTAATACTTTTATCTCCAAGAGTTTTTAAAAGGTTTTTTTATTTTATTTTAATTTTATACTTATTAAACAAACTATAGAATTACGAGAAAATTGTATATACAAAAACAGCTCGAACGATTTTTATTAGGATTTAGTATTTTATAGCCGGTTTATTTCTAAACAAAATGGTACATTCCCGATTGCCCGGTTCAAAAGGGATTTCAACTTATGTAATTTGCTCATTAAACCCATCAAATAAAAAAAAAACTGTTACTAAAAAAACAGCTCCAATGACTTTAAATCAAATTTCATATGTTCGTATATTGTCCTTTTAAATCTAATAAATTTTTTTAAATAAATACCATTTAAAATACCACGTTTTTAAACGCACTAAAAAGTATAAAATAATGTTAAAAAATGTTGAGAGAATAAATACTCATAATATTTAAAACGAAAAACGTGGGCGCATGTCATAGATAATAATAGTCCAATTGCTGAAGATCATAGTTGTAAATTATCTGTTGCATGCGCCCCACGTTTTTTTGTTTTTAATCTTTCAAGTATTTATTCTCCCCACATATTTATAAATTATTTTCTACTGTTTAGTGCGTTTAAAAACGTTGTATTTTAAAAAGTTTGTTTATTTATAAATTATTTTCTACTTTTTAATCTTTAATGTGTGAATGTGTTAAATCTATTTTGTATGGCCTATTAATACATAACCAAAACCATTTTAACTGTAATCAGATATGTTGTTGCTACTTTTCCCATAATCATAAAAATTTAGAATCTCTCGGGAGCAGAACCTGTACCTCTTAGGGGCGGTTCACGAGCTCGGGACTATCGTAGTCCGAGCCCAGAATCCGGAAATAACCGGTATTTGGGCTGCGACTTAAAAAATCGGGTTCACGAGCTCGAGACTATATAAGCCGCGGACCAAACTGATAGGCGGCACACAATTAGTGCAGGGATAAAACCCGGTTTTAAAAGTTGGGTTCACGAGTCCAATTACAGATAGTCCCGGCTCTGATCATTAGTCCCGGTGGGTTCACGAGTCAAGTCCGAGCCCAAATGAGATGGTTCGGGCCCAAAAGAACAATGGTGTTTGGTCTCCAACTCAGACCTGGTAGGAGGCAGGTTTAACGTGACATGATGCCGGTTTTATCTAATTAGCTCCTTTATTTTTATTATTTGTTAAACACTAATGTTTAAATATGGTTCCTCATTAAATTCCGAACAGTTTCATTACCCACAACACCATATTTAAAAAATATGTAAAAATGGTAAAAAGGCTCATAAAACATGAAAAAAATCATCAAACAACTTAAAACGACAGATAAATTATGCACGTAACAAAGTAGTATCATAACAAAGATATTTTACTGATAAACCCCATGTTATTACAATTTTAACGACAAAATTATGCATAGAATATAAATATAACTAATCAGCCACAGTTCCAACATAATTATCAGAAATAGTTTTTGCCGTGGGAAACATCAATCAAACCGTCAGTCGTTGAGTAGGTACGGTTCGCGGTGATATCACTGTCTTGTGTTGTACTCACTGGTCGCCGTGTGTATTGAATATGACTATGAAATATCTATACTGTATTATGTTAACAATTATGTACAATCACTCCACTTCCTCGCATAAGACCAGCTCGTTATCGTGACTAAAATCCTTTTATGACTTGATGAATTTAAAAATAGATTAAAATGTTCCAAAGATACCGTCAATGCGTCATTTGAGGCGTCACTCCAAGGCACGGATTTCTCGACAGCAAAATCCATTACAGTATTCTAAATTGAAAAAAAATGCCAGTTGCACTATTATTTTTGGCTGATGGCACTTTTCATTGAGAAACTGGTGATTTATTGGATGTTAGTAAAGTTTGGATGGTAGCTATTTGTTTGGTAATGAAAGCAGAACAAATCAAATTTTCAGTTCGAAACTATGCCCAAAGAAAAAAAAAACTATGTTTTCCTACTAGTAAATATAATAAAATACTAGTAAATCCTTCCTACCTAGTAAATATAAACGCATTGTAATGAAACTGATTTTAAAAATCGCAACAACACAAAATGTAAATTAAAAACCATAGCTGTTAACATAAATAATATTACGAGCTAATTGCAGAATATTATTTTCGACATTTTACAGTTAGATTATTATAGAGTGGAAGAATAACGGAAAGAATATTCTTTGTTTACAGCCACGACTAAATCCAGCACACACATACGATTTTTATATCTAATAATCAGTACCTCTAAATACATTTTAGTTTCAATAATTGTAGGCCTACCATTTAAATAAGTTTAGTTAAAATTATCCTATCCAAAAATCACCATCCCTAATTATCGGGCATTTATGCAAAATAGGCATTCATCCGGTTATAAATAGGCCTACCCGGTTATTTTATGTCATGCATCTGAATTGAATTATAATAATGCACACAGAAAAATATATTTCACTAAAGACTTCCATTTTCTGATTTCATACAAACGTGGATTGTTGTGTTTATAAATCATTAAACTTAGATAGATTATCATAGGCGAGCATTGGGACAATGAAATACGGGAAAAATAATCGTTTTGGACGTTTTGGTTCAGCCTTTTTTCACGATCATCCTTTTGTATGGAAGTGCGTATGTCAGCAGCAGTGGCTTCACATGTGTTTCCAGACTGTTGTTACTGGTTGTTACCAACGTCTCAACAGAAATTCCCTGCGAATCCCTGTCATTAGGCTCCGCTACGGATTTGGTCTCGACCTACAATG